GAGTAAACTGAATATGTTTCAGTATCGCTTCCTGCTGGTGTTCAACCGACATCGCCGCCCTGAACATCGACAAATGTGGACGCTTTAAGGTTCAGAGTAACAACCGCCCTTCATCGTCCCTCCAGAGCGCCACCTTCTCTTCCTGTTTATACTCACCGCCCTGTAGCACAGAGGCGTTACAGCGCCACCTACTGGCCTGCCACTCATACTACAGCATTCTCAACCCTGTGTGCCGATCCACAACTCACACACACACACACACACACACAGTGGGTAATTATCTGGACCTGAGCCAACCTCTGTGGGATTAGCCTGCACTCACACATCAGTGTGACACACTCATAAACACACACATACAGGAGCAGGTCGACCCCCTCTGGACACAACGTGTGGAGGAGGGAGGGAGGAGGAAGAGGAGGAGGAGGGGGGAGGGGGGAGGGAGGGACGGAGGAAGGAAACATGGGGGAGGAAGACAAGTGATGGAGAAAGAGGGAGGTGGAGAGTTCAACAAGTGCTGGTCCACATATCGTCCACAATGTGTTTCCCCTCTGCTGCCCCCCCCAAAAAAAATCCTCTGACATTGTGTCCGAGGGGATTACACACAGTTTATACACACACACACACACACACACACACACACACACACACACACACACACACACACACACACACACACACACTGGGGGATGTGATAAGAGTGTGTGACTGTGGCAGACACTGAGCAGCTGTCCTCTCAGCGCTTAACAAGAGCAGGACCAGCACCGCCACCAGGGGTTATCACACACTCACACGTCTGTTCTCCTGTACATGTGAGGACCCTCGCTGACACAACACATGACCTAAAGCTCAATTATAAGCCGCCCGTATCCTACACTTTATGTAATAACTCAATGTAATAAAGGTTCACTGCATCCTGTAATAATAAATAAACTTGTAACTAGATTTGTGTTTTGGTGATGTGTGGCTCAACGTTTTGTGCGGCGGACTGCTGCTGATTGGTGAAACTAAATAAATCATTTTTTAATATAAGTTCCCTCACTGTGTGTTTGTAGGTGCGACCTCTGCTGCCTGTCTTTCCGAACACACCGCGGTATGTTACGTCACAATGCCGGCGTTCACAAGCTGCTCCCCCAAGACCCCAGTGGTCGCCCCTTCATCCAGAACAACCCTTCCATCCCCACGGGATTCAACGACCTGGCCTTTATTGACTTCTCCTGCAAGAAGTTTGCTCACATCGCGCAGGTATTACAGCAGGAGCGTACCTCTCTTTATACATATCGGTTTTAGGGTCAGTATTTAATCCACTCTTTTCCCTTCCAGGTCTGGTGTGAGACAAACCTCCGTCGCTGTATCAGTAAGTTTCATCGGTTCGTCTGTGATTGCTGTGACAAGGCGTTCCCCCTTCGCTCTGCCCTGGACCTTCATAAAACCACCTCCCACCCGGACAAACCCACTGACGTGGAGGAAATGGAGGACGAAGCAGAGGATGGAGCTGCAGAAAACAGTGATGAGAACGACAGTGAGGATAGTAAGAAGGAAGTCCTGCCCTTGGAGCAGGCCAGCTTTTTGGAAGCGTTGGGTCTTCAGCACATTTCTACGGTGAGGCTTTAAACTCAAATCATATTAAGAGGGTGGATGAAATGGAAAATGTTTTGTGAATTGATCGTTACAGACTGTAGGAAGGCTGTAACGCAGCCCGGTAACTGTCCTCTGATGGATGCAACCTTTATATCTCAGGTGAAGTCCGGTCCTACTGACGATGAGATCCATCAGGCGCACCTGGACAGCATTAAGGTGATCCACGTGGAGCCGCCATCCTCCAGCCTTCCCCAGGAGCCGGCCTCAGCGTACCTCTCCGGAGGTCTGGGGCTGACTTTGGGGCTCGGTGTGGGTGGTCTGGCTGCCCTCAGCATCCCCCTGCTGGAGGCCTCTGGCTCCGCCTCCGCCCTGCAGGGCCTCTCTCAGCGAGAGGCCCTCGGCCTACTCTCCCTGCAGCCCTTTCAGACCGGCTTCCTCCTGCAGCCTGACGGGGGCGCTGCAACAGGTAGTGCAGCCTCATCAGGGGTCAAACCCGGAGAGGCAGGTGGAGCCGGGATCATGGAGCTCGCAGACATCCAGCAGATCCTCAAAGTGGCGAGCGCAGCACCGAATCAGATGGGACTGACCCTCCCACCTCTGGCCAAAGCTCCAGGATTTGCTGGAGGTGCTCAAGGTGGGTGTCGGCTCGAGCTGGATGTTCCTGTGATCGATCAATCAATCGATCAATCAGTTTCTTAAATACTGTTTTTAAAATTCGGTGACTCCTAGTGCTCATCGACTGTTTCTTCCTCCTGCAGGTCAAGTCCAGGGTCAGAAGGCAATGCCTCCATTAAAGCCCAAACCTCCCATCACCCCCCGCTCCAGCCTTACAGCGACGACTCCGCCCCCCCTCCAGAGCTCCCAGCAGGCCTCACTGGGCTGCATCAGCCCCAGCCTGCCACCTCCCACCCCGACTCTCTTCAAAGCACCCTCCTCATCCTCATCATCGTCCTCTTCAGCTGGGAATGGAGGGCAGTTGGATGCAGAGTGTATGGGTGACGCTCACACGCCTTTGTCTGATTCGCCACCAGCTGCTACAACAGCAGTACATGAGGAGGCGGGGCTTAGCGGGAGAAAGCCAGGAACCAAGGGGGGAAACAACGCCAACGCTGGCTCGGCTAAAGGCTCATTCCCATGCCGATTCTGCGACCAGGTGTTCGCCTTCTCCGGCGTCCTGCAGGCTCACATGCGCTTCCACCTCGGCATCCTTCCCCACCAATGCAACATCTGCGACTACGTGGCTCCAGACAAAGCCACGCTGATCCGACACCTGCGGACACACAGTGGCGAGCGACCCTATGTCTGCCGGGTCTGCCATTATCCTTTCACTGTCAAGGCCAACTGCGAGCGCCACCTCAGGAAGAAGCACGCCAAGACCTCGAGGAAGGACATTGAGAAAAACATCAAGTACGTCACTTCCACCACCACAGCGAACATCGCAGCAGCAATCACCGCTGCAACAACCACCGGCCAGGACACGGAGACAGGAGCTGAGACAACGTGCCGGTTCTGTGGCGAGGACCTGAAGAGCTACCGGTCTCTGCAGATCCACCTGCGCACACACAACGGCTGCCAGAGGAAGCCATTTGAGTGCCGGCGTTGCGGCGCTGCCTTCCTGGCTAAACGCAACTGCATCCACCACCTGCTCAAGCAGCACCCTGAGGTGCAGGAGAGGGAGATCGAAGAGCATATTGCCACACTCCTGCCTGCCACTGTGCCCGCCGCTACCGTCGCCTCTGGTCGGGCTACTGCAGCGAACCAGATGGCGCTGAACGGGATCAGTCAGCCTCCGATTCAGGCACTACAGGCAGTGAAAGTGGAGGAGCTGGCTAACGTGATTTATCCTACAGAACTGGACCAGCCACTGGACTTCTCTGCCAAGGGTCGTGGATCCGGCAGCCAGTCGGGGTCTCCTGGGGTCAAACTGGAGAGCGTCTCCCCCAGCTTCGACTGCTCCGTCCTGGACCAGCCCATCGATCTCTCCATCCCCAGCAAGAGGCAGAGGAGGGAAGCAGCCGGCGCCGGAGAGAAGAGGGAGATCAAGACGGAGCAGAGCGGCAGCAGCATCGTTGACCAGCAGCACGCTCTGGCTTTGTCAAAAGAGGAGAAGACGGCGAGCACCCTGCCTCCTCTACACCCTCACCCCCAACTTGGCTGCTACCAGCTACCCCCCGGATCCACCCCGCCCCCGCCTCCCTCCCCCAACCTCAGCAACAACTCAGCACGAGCCCAGCGCCTCAAACCCCTGCTCCCTAAACCAGCCTCCTCTACCTCCTCCTCCTCACCCTCCACTGCCCTCAAGGAGCTCCCTCCTCTGGCCTCCATCGCTCAGATCATCCACTCTGTCTCCGGAGCTCCAGACCTGCTGAAGAGAGAGACCGTCGCACTGGAGGGTAAAGCCCAGGCGGGTGCTGCCTCTCAGGCCGATTCTGCTGCAGACGCCCCGGGACCCTCCGCTGTTCCAGAGACACAAAGTGAGGATGTGTCTGAGGGACCCTCCAGGTATGTGAGCTTCTCATCTGGTTTATTCTGGTTTGTGTTGATCAACAGAAAAGTTGATCTTCTCCAAAGGAAAGATTTGCTACTTTTTCTCACTTTTACATAATTTTCAGTGAAGAATATGGGGATTTTTTTTGGTATAGTCTAAATCATTAATGAATAAATAAAAAGGAACCGATAACATTTCGTTAGAATTCCACAGACACTGAGAATTACATTAATATTGAATTTCATGCAACTATACTCTTAATTTGGTAATTTAGGTGTTTGTAAAGCAGGTCTTGTACTGTACAGCTGTAGGAGAGGGATGTAGGTCAGTCTGTCTGTAAACTTTTAGCTCAGTTTTACCACCAGATGGCGCCAAAGCAATAACAATAGGATGTCATTGTGCGCCTCTTTGTCCCACAGAAAGCGGACCAGGAAGAAGCCTGCTGCCCTGGCAGTGAAGGAGAAGGCCACAGTAAGCAGCAGCAGCAGCAGCAGCAGCAGCGGAGGTGGCGGGGGCATCGACCTGGAGTCCAGCGGGGAGTTCGCCAGCGTGGAGAAGATGTTGGCCACCACTGACGCCAACAAGTTCAGCACCTACCTGCAGACCGGAGCTGCAGACCTGGGAGGAAAGAGAGGTAGGAGGAGGGACACATGGATGGAAGTTTGAGTGAGGGAATAGATGATACACTGAGGCTTAACTCAACCCCCTGCCCTCGCTGTGAACAGATGCTGACAGAGCAGGAGGAGGGGAGGAGAAGGAGGGAGGAACGAAGGAGGAGGTAAAGACGGCAGCGGTGGCGCCGCAGTCCAAAGGAAAGAAGAACGCCTACTCCAACTCTGTCCAGAAGATGACCTGCCCCTTCTGCCCCCGAGTGTTCCCCTGGGCCAGCTCTCTGCAGAGACACATGTTGACACACACCGGTAATACACAGCCACCAATTAGGGCTGCACGATATGGTAAAAACATCATATTGCTGATTATGTGGGAATTTTTGCATCACAAATTTAATTTTCACTAAATAAAACAATTGAAATCATGATGATTCTTTAATCTGAACAACAAGATGTGTAGACCAGGGAACCTCTGCAGCTCTACAGGACCTCGTTGTGATTTTAACTGTGCAGCCCTACCGCCAATACAATGCAAATATTATCACACAGACTTTATTTAAGCTGGTTAAATGAGACAAAGATCACAAGAACTAATAATTATTGTGGGAATTTCTATGAAGTTTAGTTCCATGTTCTGTTTTAAATCGAGAAACAATGATTTTTGTTGGATGAAAGTCTTCATTCCCACGTCACTATTGGACCAAACCAGAGCAGGTGCAGAAGTCTAGTTTTCTCTCAAACCACTTCTTTTATAGTATACTGAAAGATTATTGAGGATGTTTCTGTAAAAAAATATACTTTACTTTGACTTTTGTCTGTCCATAGGTTTGCCTTTGTCTCTATTGGCTGCCAGTGGTGGCACATTTACATTTGAAACTGTTTGAGGCCCAAATTATCCAACATTTCACAAAAAATCCAAAATATGAAAATCAATCTGACCCACTGGAATAAACTCTGTATAAAGTAGTTGAAACCAGCTCCACCTGTAACGTTGCAGCATAAATAACATTAATGCATCAGTTTATGATGTCACATAGTCGGATATCAGCAGGAGACCTTTTACTTTGTTCTTCTTCTACTGTTGTTATTTCTGTGTTCAGATTTGTCCTGTTTCGTTACCTGTTCACACATTCACTCCGTCCGTCTCCTCATGTAAATCCTTTGTCTCTCTTCAGGCCAGAAGCCTTTCCCGTGTCCGAAATGCGACGCCTTTTTCTCCACCAAATCTAACTGTGAGCGCCACCTGCTGAGGAAACACGGTGTGACCCACCGAACGCTGCGACGCAACGGCGCCCTCACCAAGAAAGACGGTGACGAAGGATCGCACGAGAGCGCAGGTCAGAAACAAACACATCTTAAAGTTAGAGGAAAGTCAGAAATGAGCAGAAATTCTGAGGAGTGGGATTCTGTTTTTACCAACATGATATTGATCTCCTGATATTGATCATCACTGTACTGATGGCGTTGTGTTGTGCTGCAGAGAGTCAGTCGGAGACGGAGCAGGTAGCACAAGAAGCACAAGATCTCAGCGCCTGTGCAGACTCCGGCCCCACAGCAGATAGCCCCGCCCCATCAGACCAACAGGAGGCAGAGCCAATGACGCCGAGCCCCACCCACAAGCCAAGCCACGGTCAGTCATTAGCAGCAACTGGTCGATTAACCATCGTCTGGTGTGAGCTCCACTGCTTTAAGTCCTGTTGTAAAATGCATGAACAAAGATGGATGGAGTTAAGAGCTCTTACAATAAGGTTTTTTAATCATAAGTGAAAGTGAGATGTTATATTGGATTTGTTTTAGAGAACCTTAATGTCTTTATTGCGTTTTCACTGTCACACGGAGAGGATGATGGTGTTGACAGATGTTGGTTTGTGCTGCAGGTTGCAGTCCAGCTGAAAGTGTTGCAGAGCAGCCGGAGACAGAAACCACAGAGCAGCCGGACCAGCAGAGGGCGCCAGAGAGCAGAGCAGCACAGGGAAAACAGCCTCCACTGAGCAGCAGCAGCAAGGTAAGGCTACCTGAGCTCATAGTTTATCTTTCTATATTTGTCATGTGCAAGCAAACTGGCTTATTACAGGCACCAGGTTGCTCTGTCTGGGGTTTATTCTTCGTCAGTAACAGTTAGAGTGGAGAACTGTGATTGGACCGATCTGATTTAAATAAAGTGTCTGTACGTCCATTCAGCTGATTCCTTTAACTCTCCTCCAGGCGGAGAGCGCCGACGATGACGACTGCCACAGCAACAAAAGTCTGGACCTTAACTTCGGCAAAAAGCTCATCGACTTCAAGCTCTCCACGTCCTCAGGCCCCGCTCAGGAAGAGCAACCCTCCTCTTCATCCTCTACCTCTGCTCCCCAAGCAGCAACAGAGAGCCAAGAGAAGGAGAAAAGTGCTACAGCCTCCTCCTCCTCGTCCAGCAGCTCCGCGGTGAAGCAGCAGCCGGAGTACAAACACGTATGCCGAGTGTGTAAGAAGAGCTTCCGCTATGCCACCACCCTCGCTCGCCACGAGAGGGCGCACCTCTCCGAGGACACACCGGCGCCGGTGGAGGAGAACCCGCCGGTGAAAGAGGAGGTGGCGGAGAGCAACGCGGCCAAACCGACTGAGGAGGAGAAAGACGAGGAGCTGAAGAAGGAGGCAGAGATGGAGGAGGAGGAAGGAGGGAGGGGAGGTGAGAGTGAGGGAGGAGAGAGCGGGGAGTCGGAGGAGGAGGAGAAGGAGAAGGAGGAGAGGAGTGACGAGGAGGCGTCAGAACCAAAGAGTTTAGAGGGAGGAGAGGCGTCAGGAAGACGAGTGGACAAGAGGAAGAAGATCTGTAACGTCTGCGGCAAAAGATTCTGGTCTCTGCAGGACCTGACCAGACACATGAGGTCACACACAGGTACGACACACACACACACACACACACTTCAAAACAACTTTCAACTCTCAGATGTGCATCACTTTGGATAACAGAATTTGTACATTTGTAAAATATACAACTTCTGATGTGCATTCGGCCTCCAGACACCACACGATTTCCACACAATTGTAAACATGTTCATTTCACACCTTTGATGTGGTACATCTTCAAGGAACTACACCACGTCCAGTTGCCCTTAGACTCAACTGACTCTGACGTCCTTGATATGCCTTTCCCCAATTGGGGACAAGATAAAAAATAAACACAAAAACTGAGCTGATAAGTACAGCATCCTCGGGGCATTTCACATTTCGCTCTGAGACAGCACAATGAAGGGGACCTTGCTTTGCAAATCATATTTGTTTACTGATCTTACTGATTTTATAAATACAATTGTATCAGTCAATTTTGACCTGGGGATATCCTGGCTAATATTTGACATATACCTGTCAGTGGTTATCCAAAATAACTAATAATTTCTGCTTATTTTGTTCAAAAACATGGTATAATTTCATGTAAATTAGGTTTATTGTCCATAAATAGAGGTGTAAAAGAAGTTTAACATTTGTGGTAATGTGTTGGAATGAAGTTGGCTAAAAAAATGGAACACAGAATGGTGTGATCATTTTATACTTTATGCTTTATAAACAGTCGGACTAGAGGGGTCAATTTGACCCAGAAGGACCACAGGTGTGACAATTTGCTGCCATTAAAAAAAATTGAAATGGTTTCAAAACAATATCCTGACTACACTTTGACATAGACCAGTCTGTGATAATGCATCAACATATGTGCCTCTGATCATAACCATCGTGAAAATATATTTTTTTACTCAAATTAATTATAATTTTATGTAAATTAGGTCTATCATACCATACATTACAAAAATAAGTGTAAAATATAGTGCTGTCAGTTAAACGTGTTATTAACGGCGTTAACACAAACCCATTTTAACAGCGTCAATTTTTTTATCGCAAGATTAACGTTCTTTTTGGCCTAGCACACTTTGTAGTTTTTTTCACATGCTGTTGCAACTAGTAATGTTAGAAAAACTACAACACCACACCAGATCTAGCTAGACCGGAAACAAAACAACAGGCACGCCGCACACACTTGTTTAAGAGTAGTAGACGTTACATTTTGCGTGGATGGCGAGCACGAGACGCCAAAAAGGATGCCAATAATATTCTGAATGGAAAGTTTACTTTTAAAAAGTTAACTATGACATTAATGCGATTAATCGTAATTAAATATTTTAATCGTTTGACAGCACAAGTAAAATATATGTTCATGTGTTGGAAACAAGTTCACTAAAAAGGTGAAACAAATAAATTGGTGATCATTTTATACCTCATACTTTATAAGCAGTCAAAACAGACCGGGTCAGTTTGACCTGGGAGGACAAAAGGTGCATAGTAAATGGGAAGACAATACAAGGGTTAATATACTAATAACCTCAGTATCTACCTCTATATAATTTACATATACAGTGTCTGCATATAAATGCCCCCCCTCTCCTCCCCCTCTGTGCCCCCCCAGGTGAGCGGCCCTACCAGTGTCAGACCTGCGAAAGGACTTTCACCTTGAAGCACAGCCTGGTGCGCCACCAAAGGATCCACCTGAAGCCCCGCGGAGCCGACGGCGGCTCAGCCGGGAACGACGACGCGAGCGAGGACGGGGACTCCTGCACCCCGACCCCGACCTCTACCTGCCCGCCCTCGGAGAACGAGAGCGAGTGTGGGGGGGCCAAGGAGCTGGAGGAGGAGGACGTGAAAGAGGAGGGCGAGGAGGGCGATGGAGCAGAGTCGGCCACATTGGAGGAAGAAGAGCCGACAGCCGTCGCTTCTGAAGAGCCGGTTGCTGAGGAAAAAGACGAACTATCAGCGAACTCTGCGATGCAACACCCGTCTGCTGACGCGACTCCCAGCCGACAAGCTACTGACACAAAGAGCGACGACTCCTCAGCCGACTCCAACGTCTCCAAAGACCCCTCCCCCTCGTCCTCCACCTCCCTGCCGGACGAGCCCGTGGCAGCTGCCCCCGCAGAGGGCTTCATCCAGGGGCTGCTTGAGATCCACGCCAAGCCCCCTCTGGAGCACATCCTGCCCAACGGAGAGCCTCCTCTGGTGGGGATAGACTGAGGGGAATGTCCCCCGGCTGGCTCCACGCTGTCCAAACCAACGTCACCACAGTGCCATACGACGGAAAGACGCTACACCATTGATGATGATGATGCAAAAACCAGCCCGGAAAACTTTTTTGATCGAAAGAAAGACGAAAACCTCGTTTTCTTGAAGTGCCTTACTACTAGTCCTACTTCTAAGAGATGTTTTTTGCTATATCTTTATCTGCATTATTACGGAGGATGGATCTAATTTTTATAGCTTTTTATGATGACAATGATTTGCATTACTATTTTTTTGTGCGGGGAATCTCTATTTCAGCAATAAAAAGAATAAAGTTTTGATTTATTATTGTTCTAGATTCTGTTTGAGAATTGATGATCAACTTAGGAGGCTCAGAGAGACAGACAGAGACTGAGACCGACTGTCAGTATCTGCGTTTATTCTTCTGTATTTAAATCACAGCTGGGCTCGGGACGCGCGGCAGAGACTGGAACAGTCCAGTTTTAAGATCTGAACCAGCTTCGGATTTGAGAGCGAACTAGTCTGGGTGGGGAACTCGACTTTGTTTTAATCTGCCAGCCACAGCAGCTTTCCACAACTCACCAGCCACTCGTCCTGCTTGACCAGGCGTTGAGATATTTTTGGATGAAATGCAACCTGGAGGTGATGGCTGGTAGTTGTCTCTCACTGTGTGACAAAGGAAGCTTTTTGTAACTGGAAACCACAGAATGGCCGGCGCCTCGCTTCCGCACCGATCCCCGTCTCTCAGCCGGCTCGGAAAAACACACAAAAACTTTCACGAACTTTGTCAAAAGTCGAGTCCGATTTCTGTGTGGAAAAAGAAGTCTTGGAAGGGCGGATATAGTGTTGATCAGTTTGTGTTCTTCATGTTTGTTTGTTTTTTAAAACCCATCACACTATTGATCCCTTTGAAGCCACCCTGTGAGTTGGTTTGTGTTTTAATAATTTCTCATTCATAATCATTCTCAGTTGATTCCATGTGTGTACAGAGAGTTGAACATGTGGCACGTGTTGCTAGAGTATTTTCTGTTGTTTTTGCGTGTGTGCGATTATCAGTGACTTTTAGGTGTAGGTAGGGGAATTCTTGTGTTTTGTGGATTTTTTTTTTTATAACTGAACAAATCAAAACATTTTTTTGTCGTGTGCGTATGAGTGTGTGCGATTCCCGCCTGTCTCTCTTCATCGCCCTCTAGTGTTCAGTTAGGGTTTATTACAGGGCCTCCAGCGTTCAGTTTACCTCAACCTCTGCTTTTTAACTGCAACCATTAAAACAACGGATGAGCAGCTCTGTAGGCAACCTTTTAAATCCTTTGTCTTCCTGAACAAGGCTAGCAGGGTTCATTCTTTGCTAGCCTTGTTTCCACTGTGGGCCAAATCAGAGCTAGCCAGGGCTAACTCGTTAGCGTAGCTTCAGACACAGCTAGCCATCACAAACGTGTTCAAGTCGTTACTGGTTTAGCTTTCACAACGGCCCAACAGAGCTACGTATGGCTAACAGTATCGGCGACAGTGTTGGGCTAAGTCTGGCACACGAACGATAAAAACAGCAAACACAAGGGCTAACAGATCAGACAAGATAACCAAGCTACCAGTGCCTTCATTTGGTTTACTTAATTTCTCTGGTGTGGTCAGTTGGCTCTAGCTAGCTCTTATCATTACCCATGGATATCAAACGCCTGCTCAAATTACACGCTAACTAGGGCTAACCGACCAGAGCGGACAAGCTGACAGTGGATTAGCTCAGTAAACTAGTTTGATATGGTCGGTTAACACGTTGCACCACAGTTGGTTAACAGCATTTCTAGGAAGTGGCAGGTCAAGCTAGTTCCTGCAGTATTATCTCAGTCGGCTCTGGAGCGCTTTAGTACTGTTTGTCCCTAACCAACCCCCGTCTGCTCCTGTGTCCATATGAGGACTGTTTCCTGTTCCAGTCGACCCAGAGACAAACAGAAGAGCTAATTAACTTTCACTTCTATGTGACATATACTTCAGCTGTGTTGGTTCATCATCAGTGAGGTTATTAGATACCTGAAGACGCGGCTATGAATTTGGCGTTAGAGACAATCAGTTGTAATTTTCAAATAGAAAACAGATTAAAGAAAACTCACTCAGTTAAATCTCAGCAGGATTTCCAGAAGGAGTTAGATAACAGGGTGAAAGGGATGGATGGATGGATGGATGGGTGGATGGATGGATGGATGGATGGATGGATGGGTGGATGGGTGGGTAGGTTGAGGGGGTGTGAGTGAACTGTATTACCCTGCTGCACACACAAACAAACACAAGTAAAAGGGCTAATTCTACCCCCTTGCAGCAACCCAACCGGACATTTCCACAACTGAAAAAGGATCTCGCGACCAGAGGGGACGGGTAGTGTGTATGTGCGTTTTCTTTTTCGTGTGAAGATGAATATAGCTAATTTCTCTTCTTGTACGTTTTTGTCTCTCTGTTTTTGTTTTGTTTTTTTATAAAGCAACCTCATAATCAAAACGAATCGAACCTCAACGGCTCATAACGGAACTGTAAGGCAACGACGGTCAGTCAGTTTGTCAGTCAAAAAGAGAGGCGAGAAATATTGAACAACCACAACTGGACTGACTGGACGCTTGCTGTGAACTGGCACTAACAACTCCCAAAACTACTACTACTACTACTTCTTCTACTACTAGTACTACTACAGTGGAATATCGCAACACAATCAAGAGAGAGAGCGAGAGAGTTTCATTACGTCACGCCCAAACCCTGACACCTCGGTCTGCAGTCCTAATATCAAATCA